ATTCATATATATATATATACACATATATACATATACATATACACATATATATATATATATATATATATATATATATACATATATACATATATACACACACACACACACACACACACACACACACACACACACACACACACACATATATACATTTTTTTTTTTTTAAAGATCAAGAAGGAGGAAAATAATTAAGGGGTCACTCTTATCTGATGAGTTTGAACCTACCATGGACTGAAATTTAGCAAAGCATGACAGTTGGAAGAGGACACGAATGAGAACAAAGACAGTAATTGGGATCAAATTCATCATGTGAATGTACCGGTACTCAACGTGCTATGTAACGCTCGCAATATTTTGGCCACAAGCTTTCACTATTTTACCCATATTAAATGATAAATATGGTCATCGTTAAATATTGTTCGAAAACACCATGTACATATATTTTAACGATGGTAAAGACGTGCACCTGAATGATGCGATTTGGTGGGGGAGGTGTGTCAGCGCCGGGCAAAGGCGGTCAACACCACCTGCGGTGTCCTCCCTTTCGGCCCTGCACCAAATACGGGTATCTGGGGATATCGTCAGCCGTTTACTGGTGCCACCACCCAGGCCCAGTAGTAAGAACACTCCTTTTACTACTTTGATCAAACTGGATGTTTCATTTGTTGTAACATGAAGTGTTTTTTCAGTAAAAGTACAATAAGTGTTCAATCCAAGCTCATTCAGGACACACTTGTTAACATGAACATGAATAACAAATGGCCATTTTGGGTGTGAGTCCGAGCTCTCGTGCCAACATACCTGCACAATGTTTCATACAAATGGAACGACATGGTAAATGTCATCAAATATGACACATCTAGGCAAACGCCTCTTTAGGCTTTCTCAACAAAGAGTACAAACCGTTGAACGCAGCAACACCACTTCGGCATCACAGGCTGTGGTAGGGATGCAGGTGGCCTTGACGCACCACTCTGGCATCCAGTAGAGCAGCAGAAGTAGGAAGCCCCCTGTACAGAGTACGCCAAGACCCACCAGCACCAGTCGCCAGCGGCACAAACGGTAGCCTTGCAACTCCTTGAAAGTGGAAGTAGAAAGGAAGGCACGACAAAACTAAGTTAGTAAAACGAAGAAAAATGTGTGTATTTCAGATTGCCACGTCAATCAAGGATACTCACCATCTCTTCATCTTCCCCCTTGTTGAGGATCTTTAGGTCTTCCTTCTCCATGATTCAAAGCTGAATGCAAAGCACCCTCCTTTGTCACTGCAGCAACAAAAGCATTAACGACATTAACAAGCAACATTAACAAGGGACGATGGTCTCATTCCTGCAAACATTTGACTAACCTAATGTTTAAAAGGCAACAAATGAGCAACTGGAAAAGGGGTAGGAAAATACGGTTCCTCAAGAGCCAGATCTTGCCTGTTTTAGATTTCTCTCTACTTCAGCACATCTAATTTAAACGATCAGATCATGAGTAAGCTCTGCAGAAGCCTGAAACGACCATGATCAATTGAATCAGGTGTGTTGGAGTAAGGAGAGTTCTAAAATAGGCAGGATGTCACTCTCGAGGAATTGGGAGTTCCCTACCACTGAACTAGGAACACCCATCAGTCACATGTTCCAATATTTTTTGTCACTTGAAACGTGGGTGGCTCCAAACAAAAGGCACTCTGTTTGGAGATATGAAACACATCTAGATGTAATGCAGACGGTCCCGAGTTACAAAGATTTGGATATCGGACCACTGACTGATGTCCATAAATTTCAAATGTTGGTATAATGCCATATTTTTAACTGCGTGCCACATCATACTGTTCAGTGCTGGAGCTCCCCTATCTTATCTGCTGTAACGCACGCCGAGCAGCACCTCTCCATAAGTGCATCTTCAACACTCATCGACGATGATCAGAAGAAAGACCTCTCACTGGCTGTCACGTTTCCGAGCAGCGGTGAAACACCACAAAACTAAGGATGATCATCTCAGCCTTCCACCTCAGCAGCCTCACCGCAGCTTGCTCTGTCAGAGGAATACACCGAATATATTTCTAACTGGCCACCGAAGACATCTCCAAAGAAATCTCTATGATATGATGACAAGTCTGCCTCTCACAAATAATAACTTCTCACTTGTTCTCCTACTCTTCCTCCAAACTTAATGCACATCATCTTCGCTTTCAATGAGTTCAACTTCAACACTACTATGGTGCTTGTTGACATAATTCCTCCATGAAACTAATAGTTGAGGGGTGTGATCGGAAGTCCGGCATACAAAACCCTGTCCCAGTTTGATTTCCTGTTTTTGGCGGAGCCATGTTAATTTTTTCCACACACCTATTCAATTCTTCTCCGCCACCATAATACAGTATGTGTTGTTGTTGTTTTTTTTTGTTTAATGATCTCAAATGACAATTCTGGATTGACAATTAATGTGTTTCGATTTATGAACGCTTCATCTTACGAGGAGCTGCTTGGAACCCATTGTGTTTCTACCATGGAGACTCCCTGTACCATAAAAGCTGGAATTCTGAACTCCTGGCACATTCATATTTTGATCCGAAACCCAAATGTCTTCAATATACAACAAATATAAAGGAATTGACCATGCTGTTCCGACACTTTTGGTGGGGATGATATAGTTAGTTACCTTCATAGAAAGGGCCGAATGGGCCTTTGGCAAAGTTAGGAAAATTAAGACAAACAGAGAGGAAACCAACCAACAGAGAGAAAAGAAGAGAAGGGGTGTCTGTGTACCTTATATTGCCGGCCTCTCAGAGAAAATACAAAGAATATTTCTACAACATGATATTCCCGTTTATTTTAAACCGATAAACACATTGAGACAAAAACTAGTACACCCCAAAGACCGGGTTCCTAACACCCAAAAATGCAATCTGATTTATTCCATCCGTTGCCAAGAAAGTGAGTGCAAGGAACATTACATTGGAGAAACCAAACAAACACTCAAGAAAAGACTTTATCAACACAAATGGAAAAACAATGATAACAAAAGTGCAGTATACGCACACTTAAAAGAAACAAACCACACAATTGAAGATGAACAAGTAAAAATCCTAGGAACAGAAAAGAGATGGTTTGAAAGGGGAGTAAAGGAAGCGATTTTTGTTTCAAAAATTTTCACCCTCTCTGAACCGTGAAGGAGGTATCAGATTTAACCTGTCTCCTATTTACAAGAACTTGTTGACCACCAAGGGACATAGACATGCTGATCAGGCTAACTGAAAGTAGCTATTCAGCCTTAGCCCAAACAATAGGCCTAATCAAGACCCAATGATAGGGAATTTAGAAACCAATGGGCCTCTAATAAACCAATAGGGGCGTGACTAACCATCCCCACCCAGTCCTCAA